AAAATGGGTCTTGCATACCAATATGGCAGTTTTACTAGCTAGTTAAAGAGCTGTTGCACTGAAATATTATTATATCTATGTTAAATCTTCTGCCTCCTCTAGAGGCAGAGCAGTGTTAGGGATGGGAATGGACACACTGCAGGAGTACTGGTATCTGGATGTATTATCGTACATTTAACAGGTGTGGCATATGTTTTCTTCAGTCATTCTGTTGCATGGGAAGTGGAGCCAGGGCCCTGTCCAGAAATGAGGCCCTGTCTGGGGCTTGTCAAAGCTCTGGACAGAACTATATGCCCCCTTTCCTTTGCACTCTGGGTCCTGGCAGGCGATTATTTCTCTCTTTTGCATGGGGATGGGCGAGGTTCTCTGCTTTCACACACCCACGAATGAACATATTTTAACATGAATATTAAGGGCAAGCTCCTCGGCTGGTATAAACAAGCATAGCCTCGTTGCTATCAGAGGAACTCTGCCAGTTTACACCAGATGAGAATCTGGCTCTAAGTTTCTGTTACATTTTTAGTTAGAACTGCCCATAGTCTGAGTGGAAACTTTCAGGACTGAAAGGCCCAGCTTTTCTGTTTTATCCGGCTTATTTTCAAATCTGTCAATTTTCCTTTTTGCCCTTTAGAAAAAGCTGGGACTTGTAGGAAGAATGCAAAACTTGAGCACTCTAAGTACCCTTTTAACATGAACAGTACTAGAAGTGGAGGCTTTCAGTCAATTAAAATGTGGAGATGCTGTGAGATTACCCACTTCTGTCATGGGAAACTGAGATGATATCGACCACACCAGGTTGGGAGCTGGGAAAATTGGTTTTATTCCCTAAGCCTTGCTGTGCTTCACTTTCCCCATTTTAGAATCTGACTAATGATGCTAACCCACTGTTAGAGAGAGTTTTTATTTTCCAGTTTTTCCAGCACAGTTGTACTGTGCTTTTCTTCCCTGTCATTATTATCCAATCTTCTTCACTGATGGCAAACTTTGAATTTTACATGTAATTTTTCAGAACAGTAGCAAATGTGTTGGTTATCTAAATATGCAAAACAATATTGAGCTGTTTGTGTATTCAAAATGGAGCCGTGGGCTGAATCGTCAGCTGTACTCAAGGCACACCCAGTTGGGTGCAGCTCCCTGTCTACACCAACCCTTCTCATGGCTGGCATGACCCTATATGTGGGGAGGGGTGGGGGCTACACTGTCTCTATGACAGCTAAGGATTCCCCCACCTTTGGGCAATCCTCAGCAACCCACTCAAGGCAGCTTTAAGTTTGCTTGTCCACTTGAGTAGTGTGTAGGGCACATGGTGTGAGCTGAAATCTCACCTGTATGTCTACAGAATATTCTTTACAAGGTATGGATGATTGAGATTCCTTGAATTTATTTGAACACCTGTAGGTTCCTATAGTCTTTCTTAACTTCAGGATTTGTTAGTGTTGCTTTAAAAGAGGGCTGGTTCAAGTGTGTGACCTGGTTAGTAGAAAAAACAAGACTTGCAACTGAATACATTTTATGGCAATGGAGAATTATAGTGCTGTTCAAGAGTAATCATAATGAGGCAGTTATAGCATCTATATAATTGCTGAAGAAGTAGATTAGTTTGGATCATGGAATTACTAAACAATCAGTTGCACAGGTGCATTATCATCTTTCTGATATGAGTAGTGATTAACTGTAGCACAAGGACGATATGTTAAGGAAACCTTGACTGATCTTTGCTAGACACATCGGCCTTGATTCTGGGCCATGTTCCACCCCTTTATGCCATTCTAATGTCAGAACCCAGGGAGACCTCACCCTGCCTTGTGACAGGTAATCTCCCAGAGTGGGGAGGTTCCTTGGGTGGCATAGGATAGCCCAGTATTCTGTTTTCTGACAGTGACCAATGCCAGGTGCTTCAGAGGGAATGAACAGAACAGGTAATCATCAAGTGATCCATCCCCTGTTGCCCATTCCCAGCTTCTGGCAAACAGAGGCGAGGGACACTTTGTAGAGCATGGTTTTGCATCCTTGCCCATCCTAGCTATAGCCATTGATAGACCTATCCTCCATTAACTTATTGAGTTATTTTTGAGCCCTGTTATAGTCTTGGCCTTCACAACATCCTCTGGCAAAGAGTTCCACAGGTTGACTGTGCATTGTGTGAAGAAATACTTCCTTTTGTTGGTTTTAAACCTGCTGCGTATTGATTTAATTTGGTGATCCCTAGTTCTTGTGTTATGAGAAGGAGTAAATAACACTTTATTTACTTTCTCCACACTAGTCATGATTTTATAGACCTCTATAATATCCCCCCTTAGTCATCTCTTTTCCAAGATGAAAAATCCCAGTCTTATTAATCTCTCCTCATATGGAAGCTGTTCCATATCCCCAATCATTTTTGTTGCGCTTTTCTGTACCTGTTCCAATTCCAATATATCTTTTTTGAGATGAGGCGACCAGATCTGCACTCATTATTCAAGCTGTGGGTGTACCATGGATTTATATAGAGGCAATTTGATATTTTCTGTCTTCTTATCTGTCCCTTTCCTAATGATTCCCACCATTCTGTTAGCTTTTTAGACTGCTGCTGCACATTGAGAGGATGTCTTCAGAGAACTATCCACAATGACTCCAAGATCTCTTTCTTGAGTGGTAACAGCTAACTTAGACCCCATCATTTTATATGTATAGTTGGGATTATGTTTTCCAACGTGCATTACTTTGCATTTATCAGTATTGAATTTCATCTGCCATTTTGTTGCGCAGTCATCCAGTTTTGTGAGATCCCTTTTTATCTCTTCACAGTTTGCTTTGGACTTGACTATCTTGAGTAGTTTTGTATCATCTGCAAATTTTGCCACCTCACTGTTTACCCCTTTTTCCAGACCATTTATGAATATGTTGAACAGTACTGGTCCCAGTACAGACTCCTGGGGACACCACTATTTGCCTCTCTCCATTCTGAAGCTGACCATTTCTTCCTACCCTTTGTTTCCTATCTTTTAACCAGTTACTGATCCATGAGGGGACCTTCCCTCTTACCCCATGACAGCTTACTTTGCTGAAGAGCCTTTGGTGAGGGACCTTGTCAAAGGCTTTCTGAAAGTTCGAGTACACAATATCCACTGCATCACCCTTGTCCAAATGCTTGTTGACCCCAACAAAGAATTCTAGTAGATTGGTGAGGCATGATTTCCCTTTACAAAAACCATGTTGACTCTTCCCCCAACAAATGGCATTCCTCTATGTGTCTGATAATTCTGTTCTTTACTATAGTTTTAACCAATTTGCTTGGTATTGAAGTTAGGCTTACCAGCCTGTAATTGCCGGGATTGCCTCTGGAACCTTTTTAAAAAATTGGTGTCACATTAGCTATCCTGCAATCATCTGGTACAGAAGCTGATTTAAATGATAGGTTACATACCACAGTTAGTAGTTTTTGGAGTTTCACATCTGAGTTCCTTCAGAACTCTTGGGTGAATACCATCTGGTCCTGGTGATTTATTACTGCTTAGTTTATCATCTTGTTCCAAAATCTCCTCTAATCATGCCTCAATCTGGGACAGTTCCTCACATTTGTCACCTAAAAGGAATGGCTCAGGTTTGGGAATTTCCCTCACATCCTCACCTGTGAAGACTGATGCAAAGAATTCATTTAGTTTCTCTGCAATGGCCTTCCATGAGTGATCCTTTCGCATCTCAATTGTCCAGTGGCCCTACTGGTTGTTTAGCAGGCTTCCTGCTTCTGATGTACTTAACAGTTTTGTTGTTGTTACTTTTTGAGTCTTTGGCTAGCTGTTCTTCAAATTCTTTTTTGGCCTTCCTAATTTTATTTTTACACTACATTTGCCAGAGTTTATGCTCCTTTCTATTTTCTTCAATAGGATTTAACTCCCACTTTGTAAAGGATGCCTTTGTTGTTTAGCCAAGGTGACACTTTTTTGGGCCGCTTACTGTGTTTTTTAATTTGGGGTGTACCTTTAAATTGAGCCTCTCTTATGGTGTCTTTAAAAAGTTTCCGTGCAGCATGCAGGGATTTCACTTTTGGCGGGGTACCTTTTAATTTCTGTTTAACTAACTTCCTCATTTTTGTGTAGTTCCCCTTTCTGAAATTAAATGCTACCATGGTGGGCTGCTTTGGTGTCATCCCGCTCTCCCCCCCTGCCCTGGGATGTTAAATTTTATTATATTATGATCACTATTACTGAGTGGTTCAGCTATATTCACCTCTTGGGTCAGATCCTGTGCTCCACTTAGGACAAAATCATGAATTGCCTCTCCTCTGGTGGGTTCCAGAACTAGCTGCTCCAAGAAGTCATCATTTAAGATGTTAAGTAACTTTATCTCTGCATCCTGTTCTGAGGTGACATGGACCCAGTCAATATGGGGATAGTTGAAATCCCCTATTATTATTGAGTTTTTTATTTTTATAGTCTCTCTAATCTCCCTGAGAATTTCACTGTCACTATCAGGAAGGACAGGCAGGGCAGAAAAGGTGGGGGAGTAGCACTGTATGTAAGGGAGCAGTATGACTGCTCAGAGCTCCGGTACGAAACTGCAGAAAAACCTGAGTGTCTCTGGATTAAGTTTAGAAGTGTGAGCAACAAGAGTGATGTAGTGGCGGAAGTCTGCTATAGACCACCGGACCAGGGGGATGAGGTGGATGAGGCTTTCTTCCGGCAGCTCGCAGAAGCTACTAGATTGCACGCCCTGGTTCTCATGGGTGACTTTAATTTTCCTGATATCTGCTGGGAGAGCAATAAAGCGGTGCATAGACAATCCAGGAAGTTTTTGGAAAGCGTAGGGGACAATTTCCTGGTGCAAGTGCTAGAGGAGCCAACTTGGGGGGGAGCTTTTCTTGACCTGCTGCTCACAAACCGGGAAGAATTAGTAGGGGAAGCAAAAGTGGATGGGAATCTGGGAGGCAGTGACTATGAGTTGGTTGAGTTCAGGATCCTGACACAGGGAAGAAGAAGGGTTTCTTCAGGTATGTTGGCAACAAGAAGAAAGCCAAGGAAAGTGTGGGCCCCTTAATGAATGAGGGAGGCAACCTAGTGACAGAGGATGTGGAAAAAGCTAATGTACTCAGTGCTTTTTTTGCCTCTGTCTTCACTAACAAGGTCAGCTCCCAGATTGCTGCGCTGGGCATCACAACATGGGGAATAGATGGCCAGCCCTCTGTGGAGAAAGAGGTGGTTAGGGACTATTTAGAAAAGCTGGACGTGCACAAGTCCATGGGGCCGGACGAGTTGCATCCGAGAGTGCTAAAGGAATTGGCGGTTGTGATTGCAGAGCCATTGGCCATTATCTTTGAAAACTTGTGGCGAACGGGGGAAGTCCTGGATGACTGGAAAAAGGCTAATGTAGTGCCAATCTTTAAAAAAGGGAAGAAGGAGGATCCTGGGAACTACAGGCCAGTCAGCCTCACCTCAGTCCCCGGAAAAATCATGGAGCAGGTCCTCAAAGAATCAATCCTGAAGCACTTACATGAGAGGAAGGTGATCAGGAACAGTCAGCATGGATTCACCAAGGGAAGGTCATACCTGACTAATCTAATCGCCTTCTATGATGAGATTACTGGTTCTGTGGATGAAGGGAAAGCAGTGGATGTATTGTTTCTTGACTTTAGCAAAGCTTTTGACACGGTCTCCCACAGTATTCTTGTCAGCAAGTTAAAGAAGTATGGGCTGGATGAATGCACTATAAGGTGGGTAGAAAGTTGGCTAGATTGTCGGGCTCAACGGGTAGTGATCAACGGCTCCATGTCTAGTTGGCAGCCGGTGTCAAGTGGAGTGCCCCAGGGGTCAGTCCTGGGGCCGGTTTTGTTCAATATCTTCATAAATGATCTGGAGGATGGTGTGGATTACACTCTCAGCAAATTTGCGGATGATACTAAACTGGGAGGAGTGGTAGATACACTGGAGGGCAGGGATAGGATACAGAGGGACCTAGACAAATTAGAGGATTGGGCCAAAAGAAATCTGATGAGGTTCAATAAGGATAAGTGCAGGGTCCTGCACTTAGGACGGAAGAACCCAATGCACAGCTACAGAGTAGGGACCGAATGGCTCGGCACCAGTTCTGCGGAAAAGGACCTAGGGGTGACAGTGGACAAGAAGCTGGATATGAGTCAACAGTGTGCCCTTGTTGCCAAGAAGGCCAATGGCATTTTGGGCTGTATAAGTAGGGGCATAGCGAGCAGATCGAGGGACGTGATCGTTCCCCTCTATTCGACATTGGTGAGGCCTCATCTGGAGTACTGTGTCCAGTTTTGGGCCCCACACTACAAGAAGGATGTGGAGAAATTGGAGAGAGTCCAGCGAAGGGCAACAAAAATGATTAGGGGTCTGGAACACATGACTTATGAGGAGAGGCTGAGGGAACTGGGATTGTTTAGTCTGCAGAAGAGAAGAATGAGGAGGGATTTGATAGCTGCTTTCAACTACCTGAGAGGTGGTTCCAGAGAGGAGGGTTCTAGACTATTCTCAGTGGTAGAAGAGGACAGGACAAGGAGTAATGGTCTCAAGTTGCAGTGGGGGAGGTTTAGGTTGGATATTAGGAAAAACTTTGTCACTAGGAGGGTGGTGAAACACTGGAATGCATTACCTAGGGAGGTGGTGGAATCTCCTTCCTTAGAAGTTTTTAAGGTCAGGCTTGACAAAGCCCTGGCTGGGATGATTTAATTGGGGATTGGTCCTGCTTTGAGCAGGGGGTTGGACTAGATGACCTCCTGAGGTCCCTTCCAACCCTGATATTCTATGATTCTATGATCAGCATCCTGGTCAGGTGGTTGGTACTATATTCCTACTACGGCTGTCAGGAGATTAAAAAAATTAACCACGATTAATTGCGTGAGTAATTGCACTGTTAAACCATAATAGAATACCCATTTATTTAAATATTTTTGGATGTTTTCTACATTTTCAAATATATTGATTTCAATTACAACATAGACTACAAAGTATACAGTGCTCACTTTATATTTATTTTTATTACAAATATTTGCACTTGGAAAAAACAAAAGAAATAGTATTTTTCAGTTCACCTAATACAAGTACTGTAGTGCAAACTCTTTATCATGAAAGTTGAATTTACAAATGTAGAATCATGTACAAAAAAACCTACATTCAAAAATAAAACAATGTAAGATTTTAGTCCTACTTCTTGTTCAGCCAGTCACTCAGACAAACAAGTTTGTTTACATTTGCAGGAGATAATGCTGCTCGCTTCTGAAAGTCACCTGAAAATGAGAACAGGCGTTCTCATGGCACTGCTGTAGCCAGCGTTGCAAGATATTTACGTACCAGATGCGCTAAAGATTCGTATGGCCCTTCATGCTTCAACCACCATTACAGGGGACATGTGTCCATGCTAATGACGGGTTCTGCTTGATTATAATCCAAAGCAGTGTGGACTGACCTATGTTCATTTTCATTATCTGAGTCGGATACCACCAGCAGAAGGTTGATTTTCTTTTGGTGGTTTGGGTTCTGTAGTTTCTGCACTGGAGTGTTGCTCTTTTAAGACCTCTGAAAGCATGCTCCACACCTTGTCCCTCTCAGATTTTGGAAGGTACTTCAGATTCTTAAATCTTGGGTCGAGTGCTGTAGTTATCTTTAGAAATCTCACATTGATTCCTTCTTTGTGTTTTGTCAAAGCTGCAGTGAAAGTGTTCTAAAAATGAACATGTACTGGGTCATCATCTGAGACTGCTATAACATGAAATACATGGCAGGAAGCTGGTAAAACAGAGTAGGGGACATACAGTTCTCCCCCAACGAGTTCAGTCACAAATTTAATTAACGTTTTTTGTTTTTTTTTAATGAGCATCATCAGCATGGAAGCATGTCCTTTGGAATGGTAGGGCATACGTTTAGCATTTCTGACATATAAACACCTTGCAATGCCGGCTACAAAAGTGTCATACAAATGCCTGTTCTCACTTTCTGGTGATATTGTAAATAAGAAGAGGGCAGCATTATCTCCCGTAAATGTAAACAAACATGTTTGTCTTAGCAATTGGCTGAACAAGAAGTAGGACTGAGTGAACTTTGTTTTGTTTTTGAGTGCAATTATGTAACCAAAAAAATCTACATTTGTAAGTTGCACTTTCACACAAAGAGATTGCACTACAGTATGAGGTGAATTGAAAAACACTATTTCTTTTGTTTATCATTTTTACAGTGCAATTATTTGTAATAAAAATAATATACACCTTGATTTCAGTTACAACACAGAATGCAATATATATGATACTGTAGAAAAACATCCAAAATATTTAATAAATTTCAATTGGTATTCTGTTGTTTAACAGTGCTATTAAAACTGAGATTAATCGCGATTAATTTTTTTGAGCTAATCGCATGAGTTAACTGCAATTAATTGACAGCCCTAATCCCTATTGCTATATTCTTATTATTCAAGCATGGAATTACTATCCATAGAGATTCTGTGGTACAGTTTGGTTCATTTAAGATTTTTACTTCATTTGACTCTACGCTTTCTTTCATCTATAGTGCCACTCCCCCACTAGTACGACCTACTTTGTCCTTCCAATATATTTTGTACGCTGGTATTACTATGTCCCATTGATTGTTTTCATTCCATCAAGTTTCTGTGATGCCTATTTTATCAATATTCTCATTTAATATGTGGCACGCTAGTTCACCCATCTTCGTGTTTAAACTTCTAGCAATTGTATATAAGCACTAAAAATTGTCATTTTTTTTAGCTGTCTGCCATTATGTGGTATAACTGAATGGGACTCTCTTTCATTTGATTGTTCAATAGGGATCAATCCTGCAAAGTGCTAAACTGCTGCTGGAAGTGCAGAGTGCCATCAAGTCCAGGGATTAGGTGGATTGTAAAATCCTACAGCACAAATTTCTAATGGTTGGGAACTGCAAAAGCAAATGCTTGTTTTCTAAGGGCAGAGTGCATTCTTTGGGTCTGATTTTCCACTTGTGTACACTATTGTAATTCAGGAATAGTTCCTCTGCAATCAGTGACAGGGGCTGGAAAAGGGGGTGGCATAGAAGCTGTTGCAACACTGTCTCTGTGTCACCCAAAGATCCCTGTATGGTGACCCTCCCAGGGCCAGGTATATTGACTTTAAGATTCATTCTGTCTCTGCACGAGTGCAGATTGCCCTTAAAGCAATTAAGGATTGGGGCCAGAGCATTTACTAGAACAGAAGTGGGCAAACTATGGCCTGCAGGCCACATCTGGCCTGCGGGACTGTCCTGCCCGGCCCTTGAGCTCCCGGCCAGGGAGGCTGTTCCCCCTCCCCTGCAGCCTCAGCTCACTGCAGCGCCTGCTCTCTGGCCCACCGCTCCTGCTGGGCAGCACGGCGACGTGGCTGGCTCCAGCCGGGCGGTGGGGCTGCAAGCTCCTGCTTCTCTGAGTGGCATGGTATGGGGAGTGGGGGGGTTGGATAAGGAGCAGGGGGTCCCGGAGGGCAGTCAGGACAGGGAGCAGGGAGCGGTTGGATGGGGTAGAGGTTCTGGGTGGGACGGTCAGGGGACAGAGAGCAGGGGGCAGTTGTATAGGTGTGGGAGTCCCAGGGGGCCTGTTGGGGTGTGGGTGTGGATAGGGATCGGGGCAGTCAGGGGACAAGGAACGGGGGGTTGGATGGTCAGGGGTTCTGGGCAGGGCGGTCAGGGGATGGGGAACAGGGGGGGTTGGATAGGGGTGGGAGTCCTGAGGGGCTTGGCTGGGGGTGGGGGATAGGGGTCGGGACAGTCAGGGGACAGGGAGCGGGGGGGTTGGACAGGGGGTGGGGTCCTGGGGGGTGGTTAGGGTCGAGGGGTCCTGAGTGGGAGCGGTCAGCACAGAGAGGGAAGTAAATTGCACCAGGAAAAGGGCTGGCACAGATTACTTCCCCTGTGGAGCGAGGGACTGAACTGGGGTTCTCAGAATCAGTTTTTTCCCGGCTCTGCTCTTGGACCGCTGGCCTTTACTCAGGCTGGATTGCAGTGTGCCAGTCCAGCCTAAAGTTACCAGTTCCTTATCCCAGTTTGAACTAAGGCACCACAGCACACTGGTTGCTCTCCTGTGGCCGTTGCTTGCAGCCTGCATTCCAGATAGCATGAGGACATACCGAGTCAGGCATGCAAAAGGGATTGTTATCAGCAAAGTTGACTGTATTTATAGCAACGGAGGTAAGTACTTTTTTCTTGGAAGTTAGTTCAAATGTCTCTTTATCCAAAAAGATTGATGAAGGAATGGGCCAAAACAAACAGCTTTGTGCAGACTTTCATCTCTGCCCTTACAGCTAGATTTAAATAGTCCTATGTCATCTAATAAAACTAACTGCCATAAAGATGAATTGACTCCTCTGGGGCCTTAGCCCACGCCAACTGTTGCTAGGAGGGACAAGCTGTCATTGTTGAGCTACGGAGAAAGCAGGTGACAAGCAAGATAACTTAGGAGATTGGGGACAAAAGACAGAGTGATGAATTTGAAACAGAGGATGGGGATTATAAGTTATCTCTCATTGGTGAATATGTCCTGTCTCATAGGCCACTGGAGAGCATTGCTTCTCTGAGGGATTCAGTGTGGTGCAGTAGGCAGGGCACTGGACTGAAAGCTAGGGGTCCTTGCACTGTCACTGAGCTGCTCCATGCTTCAGTTTCCCCAACTGTAAAATGGAGATAATGAGATTTGCCTTTTTTCAAGCACTTTTACAGCACTTTCCATCCATGTACC